GGAGCGACCTCAGGCCGGAGGCAGCGCCGGGCCCCGCGGGACCTTCCTCTTCTCCCGCAGCCAGTGCAGGCGGGCACCTCTATACCTATTTTTATATGTTTTTTCCTTTCTTTTCTCTACAGCAAAAGCTGGCAGGCTGACAGACGGGCAGCGTACAGGACGGACTCTCTGGCTACTGACCATTTAGCTGGTGAGTGCCTGTTCTGGGGAGGCCAAGGACAGCCTTGCTGGGCTGCTCGTGTGTCTGAGGAGGGTCCGAGCACATCCCAAATGCAGCGGGAGGTCAGACACCTGTGGGAGCAACCTTTAGGAAGAGGCAACTTCCATATGGGCCTGTACGGCTTTTGGGAGGAGTTATCCAGTGGTTTTTTGCTGCCTATCCAGCCTTTCACACTCTCATTAGAAAATTAGACGTCTTAATGCATAGGCTAGTTGGAATGCGTGTTAGCAACTTCTGTTGTACCCCTTGCCGGTGACCTTCTGAGGCTACGCATCCCCTCCCAGCCTCCTGTCCAGTGTGGCGAGAAAACCGGGCAGCTGCTGGGACGGCAGACCCGTTACCAGGGTGGGTTTAGTAACCACGCGTCGTCGTCACCACTAAAGGGTCGCTGGCGGCGCCGCCTGGCGCCTCTCTTGCAGTGGCAAACCCGGATTGTGTGTGGGTGGGAAGTCGACAATGAGCTCCGTGGCAGTTCTGACCCAGGAGAGCTTCGCTGAACACCGCAGCGGCCTGGCTCAGCAGCACGTGAAAGGTGAGGACGCGCCGCCGCGGCGGTTCCCCACGAGCGGGTACAGCCAACCCTGCAGGGCAGGAGATGCACGAGTGGCGCCGCAAAGGAGCCTCGTGGGATTAGTGCGCTGGGCTCACGTGCTCCCTTTGCTCGTCTGGGTGCCACTGGTGTGACTCTGTTAACTGACTTTTGGGTGGTTTCTGCACCCGTTCTCCGGCTGAATTGAACATGCAGTCAGACAAGGCCACTCAGGCAGGGGTTGTCTTGTGCAGCCTGTGCTCTGCCTTGGCCGGTTGTGCTCCGGACGTGGCGGCTCTGCGAGCATAACTGTCATGGGAAGCACAGTAAAGCACAAGTTGTTTGCTCGCCCTCATTACTAGTGCCTAAATACATGTAGACTGCTATGAAGAGGGGCATTTCTACCTAGAGAGCATCTTACCACCCTGTTTGCCTCGTTCTAGTTACAGCTTTAAACTCTGAAGAAGAGAATGATCCTCCAACCTACAAGGAAGCCTTCCCTCCGCTCCCTGAGAAAGCACCATGTTTGGAAACCGCCCAGGAACCGGCTGGGCCCTGGTGCAAGATTCGACCCATAAAGGCTTCTGTCATCACTCAGGTTGGTGGAAGACGAGGTTTAAAGTTTGTCTCCCCTATAGCACTTTGGGCACAAAGTTTTAGGAAGACACCTAAAGAGCAGGACAGTCCTCCTGCCGCAGCACACTTGCCATTTCCCTGGCATCCAGTGTCTCCCCTGGGAAGGGTTGCACAAACCTGGGAATTGCTAGTCCAGGGTGGCAGAGACACAAGGAGATGCTGGAGCGTTCCAAACCTTACCAAATACACATGTCCTTTCCTTACCTGCGCTCTGGCTGAGCAGGTGTTCCACGTGCCACTGGAGGAGAGGAAGTACAAGGACATGAACCAGTTTGGAGAAGGCGAGCAGGCCAAGATCTGCCTGGACATCATGCAGAAGACAGGAGCTCACCTGGAGCTGTCTCTTGCGAAGGACCAGGGCCTTTCCATCATGGTCTCTGGCAAGCTGGAAGCCGTCATGAAGGCTCGGAAGGAGATTGTCGCTCGGCTGCAGACTCAGGTGAGGGCACCTAACTGTTCCTTGCTTGGTCGTCACTCTTCCCCGTGACGCGCAGATGCTTGGAGACCCTTGGGCGGGTGTACTTATAAGCAGGAGAGGTGTTATTAGATGACTAATTCAGCTTAGCCTTATGTTTTCAAAGCACCCGATTGGCAATTTGGGATGGAGATGAGGCTTAAAATAGGGTTCAAAGCTAATTACAGGCCCCGGTGTTGCATGAAGGGTGGAGGCTGTGGTCGCCACATTGCAAACGGCGACTTGGTGCTAAGGTGCTGCTGCTGGAGGGGGGCAGCTCCTCACTCACGCAAGGCAAGCAGTTTATGTGAATGAGCCTGTGCCTTCCTTAAACTGTTGAGAAGAGTGGAGAGGGGTGAGGGAAAGGAGGAAAGAGAGAAAAGGAATGGTGAGTGAAAGCTTCATTCCAGGGTTTGGATTGTGTAAGTTGAGCCACACTGATAAGGAGCCAAAACCCCTGTTGTTTCTGTTGCTGCTTCTTTCGACTGTGCGGGTTTGGATTCCTCACCTGCTGCTTCAGTTCCTAATCACAGGGCATTTCTTGTCAGCACACGTGGCAGCCGCTTCTCGTAGGGTAATGTTGAAGCAGTTAATGCAATAGCTAATGCAGTGTCTTTTCAGCCCGTGTGTCATGCCCTGCCACAGGGAAGAGAATGGGACAAGCCCTAAATAGCGTGCGCCTGGAAAAGTACTTGGGGTTGTTCTGCTGTAGATCCATGACCCAGTGTCCCCAAACACACCTCCTACTACCCCAGCTCTGAAAGGTGTGTCTGTGTTCTCAGCTTCTCCTGGGCTTGGCTGCCTTCAGTAGAAAAAGTTGAAAACCAAGTCGTCTGTCTTGTGGTTCTCTCAGTGTAGTTTGAATCGTGTGTGTAATTACTCTTGGTAGGTGCATATTCCCAGGCATCACCAATCATATCCAGCTAGCAAAACCACATGCAACGAGAAAGGAAGAAGTCTACAATCCTTGTTACAAGCCAGACCTGCAATGGTAGGTGGAGAGAAGGCCCCTTTTCTGCAAGGGGCCCTCCAGAACTGCTCGCAGGCTCGACGTGTGTCACACCAAAGATACCTTGCAGGGAATGGCAGGAAGGCTCTCTGAGTTGCCTGCCTGCTGGAGTAGCTCTCTGGTGTTGAATTTCCGTTTCCTAGGAATCAGGCCATGTGTCTTGTTCTCTGTAGGCTGAGCAGCAGGTGCCGGAGTTCGGATAAACTCCATCCTTGAGACGTCCTCTCACTTGCTTTCTGCTGTTGCTTCTGGGGCTTAGGCAAGGTGACTGGCAGCTCCTCATCTGATCCTGAAAGCCTTTGATAATTCAGAGCACTATCTGTGTGTCTCAACCAAACAGGATTTGGATGGGAAAGGTGGTTTTTAGACTCCTGGATACAGGTTCTGTGGGTCAACTGTTCTGGTACAGTAGCAGGCCTTGGACTCGGTGTGGTTGGAAGGGGTTGTGCTTGCTCTGAGGAACACCGCTGAGCAGCACCAAACTGGGTTTCCCTGGCTCTGTTCCTGTGGCTCTACCAGTTCAGACAAAGGTCCTCACAGATGCTCGGTTCCTGCGTTTCAGGCTTCAGCGACAGTTGCCATCCCCAAGGAGCACCACCGCTTTGTGATCGGAAAGAACGGCGAGAAGCTGCAGGACCTGGAGCTCAAAACTGCGACCAAAATCCAGATTCCCCGCCCGGATGACCCCAGCAATCAGATCAAGATCACCGGCACTAAAGAAGGCATCGAGAAGGCCCGACACGAGATCCTGCTGATCTCGGCTGAGCAGGTACTTGGGCACTGTGATGGGATCTGGAGAGGCATTTTGCTTCTCCATGGTATTTTAGGTGCTTGTAGCCACCGTGGGCACATTCAATAGCTGAGTAGAGATGCGTGCGGTGCTGCTGCCTGTACGAGCACCTTTCCCAGGTCCTGTAACTTCTGCCTCTTCCTTCTGCCCATACTCTTCCAGGATAAACGTGCCGTGGAGCGCCTGGATGTGGAGAAAGTCTATCACCCCTTCATTGCTGGCCCCTACAACAAGCTGGTGAGCGAGCTTATGCAGGACACAGGGACGCGCATCAACATTCCCCCGCCCAGCGTCAACAAGACAGAGATAGTCTTCACTGGAGAAAAGGAGCAGCTAGCCCAGGCCGTGGCTCGTGTGAAGAAGATCTACGAGGAGAAGGTAGGGACGGTCCATAACCTTCGCCATCTTCTCTGCACCTGCTCACACTCCCTCTTCTCGTTGTGCTTGTGCATCTCTCCGTTGCGTTCTTTCTGTGTCAGCTCTGTGGCCCTTGCAGCGCATGGCCCTGGGGTTTGCTGTGCCCTTCCCCAGAAGGGTAATGGGACTGATGCTACCAGGGAGATGAGATGTTTTGCTTTTCTGTGTCCTGGGAATCAGCAGACCACAGAAAGCTCCCTTGGCTCCTGCTCACAGAGGTGTTACTAGGCAATGGTGTCTACAGTGGTGGCCTGTTGATGCTGTCGGTGCTGCCACAATAAGCAGAAGTTGCCGAGGAGTGAATTTTCACATATTGATTATTCACGGCCAACATTGCCAGGAAAATCCTTGTTGTGGGTTGCCGGGCTCTCCTTCCCCATGGTTAGGACTGTCTTTGTACCAGTCTGCATTTCAACAGAGATAATCAGCTTACAGCCGCTAGCCTACGTGGTGTTGCGCTACGGGACTGCGTGGGGGACGGCTGCGTGGTGAGCCCCGTTGTGCAAGGTTGTGTGTGTGTGCGGGCTCCTCCCTCCCCAGAGAGCTCCAGTGAAGCAATGAACACAAGGCTGTCTGTGTGCAGGGCCCCAAATTGTGCTGTAGGACCCAAATGGAGCGTGCTCGGCTTTGGTCTTTGCTGGGCACAGACTTTCACTCTGTCTGGTGGCTGCCCCTTCCTTTGCTCTCGCCCTTCTCTGCCCCCCTTTTGATTGCTGCCCTCATGCCTCTGCCCGTGCAGAAAAAGAAGACAACCACCATTGCAGTGGAGGTAAAGAAGTCCCAGCACAAGTATGTCATCGGCCCCAAGGGGAATTCCCTGCAGGAGATCTTGGAGAAAACTGGAGTCTCGGTCGAGATCCCACCCACTGACAGCAGCTCGGAGACGGTGATACTGCGTGGCGAGCCTGAAAAACTCGGGCAAGCATTGACTGAAGTCTATGCGAAGGTACTGAGAAGATGGGGTAGGCCTCCTTAGGAAGACACGTAAAGGTGTATCCATTAGCACTGGCGAGCGTGGCGGGGTCTCTGTGGGACTATTAGAGATGCTGCTCATCTGAAACCAGCCACTGATGCTGAGAGAAATTGAAACTGAACTCGTGTGAAGACCTCTCCCAGTCTGTCTGTTCTACAGTTTCTCTGTTCTTCTGTTCCAGGCCAACAGTTTTACCGTCTCCTCGGTCTCTGCCCCCTCTTGGCTTCATCGTTTCATTATTGGAAAGAAAGGACAAAATCTGGCCAAAATAACTCAGCAGATGCCAAAGGTATGGATGAGTTGGTTAGCTCTGCACCCTCTGCTCTAAAATGGGGTTTAGCCTGTATCACCCTTTGTAGAAGGGATAAATGTGCTCTAGCAGGGGAGAAACCACAGGAGAAGTGACGTAGATCTTAATATTAAGAGATGCTCTCTTTCCTGCTGTAAACACGGCTTGTCCTGAGTTATGCTCATGGGTTGAGCCCTTCAGAAGAAGCTTTATAAGACACTAGTTTGAGAACTGATGTAGTAACATAGCTGCAAATGTTGAGTTTGGCAAGGCTTCTCATTGCGAGTTACATGATTATCTGGAGAAAGGCCAGGTGACTAGTTTCTTCAAAGCCCTTGCAGACTCCAGGACACAGTTAGAGCCTTGGGCCACAACTATTGTATGGCCAGAATTATAAGTTGCCTGTTTCTGAAAACACAGACACGATTGTGTCTTGCATGGAAAAGAAAACATCTCGTCGCAGAATGTGTAGGCCTGCCTAGCAGCACTGACCTGGCTTGCTAAAGTCTCACTGAGTGCTTGTCTTCCCTAAAGGTTCACATCGAATTCACTGAAGGAGAGGATAAAATCACCTTGGAAGGACCTACAGAAGATGTGAATGTGGCTCAGGAACAGATTGAAGTCATGGTCAAGGATCTGGTAAGTTGGTGTTATTGCCAGTCCCAGAGGAATGTGGAGGGAGAAGGGGCAGCAGCGTGGGGATGATGACATATGTGTCGCATGTGCCTGATTACTAAGCCCTGCACAATTCCTCATAGATCAACCGGATGGATTATGCAGAAATCAACGTTGACCACAAATTCCACCGACACCTTATTGGCAAGAACGGAGCTAACAGTAAGTAGGGCACCTTTCCGACAACGCTGCGATCCTTCCTGTGCCATCGATGTTTAGTAGACAAGTAGCTCATCGGAGTGGGTGTTTCCATCATGCTTCATCTGTTCTTTTAGAGCAATGTTGGCTCAAGGAGAGAAGTGGGCAGCATGGGCTTGGGGTGGCTTTGATTTGTGGCAGTGTCTTGGGAAGTTGAACAGCAATGAGATTATTTTGCTGTGTCCTGGAGGAAGTTTTCATTTGGTTGGAGAATTAATTTTTCCTTTCTTTCAAGTAGCCCCATAGCTAACATGAATTACGTTTTAGCAGTAGGTTGGAAAGGGTGGTGAAAATCTGCCAGTGAGTTTCTCCCCGCAAAAGAATTTGAGGTCAGAAATGAAATGACCATCTTCTCATCTAAATGCAGTGTCGCTCAGGGGGGATGTATACAGGTCCTTGTGCAGCACAGAGCTGCTCTCACTGACCTGCGTGGTGAAGAGGGGTTGCCCCTGTCTCAAGCCCAGCCCAGAGGCTGCCTTAACTGTTTAAACAACCTGAGCCAGCCTTGGCTTAGCAGACTGTGTCAGCACATTCCTCCCCTTGCAGTTAACAGAATCAAGGACCTCTACAAGGTGTCTGTGCGTATTCCTCCGGACAACGAGAAGAGCAACCTGATCAGAATCGAAGGAGACCCACAGGGGGTCCAACAGGCCAAAAAAGAGCTGCTGGAACTCGCTTCCCGTATGGTGAGTAGGACGTGATGCCTGGGAGGCCGCAGAGGTAGGGCTCTTGTGTTCCACTGTGTCCTCCTCACCTCCTGAGGTTTTGGACATGCTGGCAAAGTTCCTGCTCACAGATCTATTCCTCTGTGCCCTTTCATACTCCTTCTCTGGCAACCTAAAACAAATTTTGTCTAGGGAGAACAGATATTAATAATGAGTAGAACTGTCAGGCAGCAAACTGGTAGCTAAAGCTGTGTGGCTCTCCTGCTGCAAACCTGACTGTAATCTCTATCCTCATCAGGAAAATGAACGCACCAAGGACCTAATCATTGAGCAGAAATTCCACCGGACCATCATTGGGCAGAAGGGCGAGCGGATCCGGGAAATCCGGGAGAAATTTCCAGAGGTGAGGGTTTCCAGGGGATGGGGAACCCAGAAGGGGTGTTTCCTACTGAGATAAAAGTGTCATTATAGCTGAATCCATATCTATTAAGTACAAGAAGACTGTTCTCTTGGCGAGAAGTTGCTAATGTGGCTGCACTTTTCCAAATGGGATGGAGGGCGTGTAGGATCCCAGGCTTTTGCACATGCCTGACATACAGCAGTTCTCGCATTTGCTTGATTTTTGCCTTTAAATGACCACTTCTTGCAGGTTATCATCAACTTCCCAGACCCAGCGCACAAGAGTGACATCGTCCAACTTAGAGGTCCCAAGAACGAAGTAGAGAAGTGCACCAAGTACATGCAAAAGATGGTGGCAGACTTGGTAAGAGGAGTTTTGTGTGTTCTTCTGTCCTGCACACCTAGGTGGCCCTGGAATAAAGCACAGCTATATTGTCACCATAGCTTAGCTGAGGCTAAAACGTGCTCTGCATACAAACTCTGTGCAAGAGGATAATGCCTCTTATTTGAAGACAGCATGGCAAGGGACACACTTTTGCTTGTCCTTGCAAGTCTGTTCTACAGAGAACTTGGGTCTTAGCTTATTGTCAAGAACTTGCGTTTATCAAGATCCTGGAGCAGGCCCTGGCTTGGCTGACAGGGTGATCTTGAATTCTCCTTTTCTTTCTCTCTCAGGTTGAAAACAGCTTTTCTATTTCTGTCCCCATCTTCAAACAATTCCACAAGAACATCATAGGGAAAGGAGGCGCCAACATCAAGAAGGTGAGATAGCTTTCCTGTCTCCAGGGCCCAGCATGGTCTCTGCCTGCAGCTAAATCCCCACTCACTGTGGTCTCCTGCTCTTTGGTGAAATGTAACTTCCAAGGGCTTTGTTTTCATTTGGGACATCTCTGAAATGAGTTTTCTGTCTGTGGCAGATCCGTGAAGAAAGCAACACCAAAATTGATCTCCCAGCAGAGAACAGCAACTCGGAGACGATTGTTATCACAGGCAAGAGAGCAAACTGCGAAGCTGCTCGCCACAGAATCCTTGCCATCCAGAAGGAGCTGGTAAGTGAAGCGATTGCTCTGCTGCAGATGAGGAACCTTAAAATGTTGCTAAAAGGCATAAATAGAGAAGAAGTGGCTGTAACAGGGAAGGACAGGGAGGAACCAGGAAGTGCACCTCGGGGCATTCTTGGATCTTAAACCCAAGTTCTTAGCAAAAGCTGCCTGTAGCTCCTTGTCCAGAGAGCTCTGATTTAGGCCTGTGTCATTTGGCACCTTTTTCAAAGAAGCTTCTTCATCCGGCTTGCCCAGATGCAGGTAGGACTGTCCCTCTGAAATTGGCATGGGTGATCTAGGGAAAGCAATGCTTTAACCGAGCTCAAGGAGACTAAAAATGCCCTCAGCATTAATGAGGATAGCTCACCTTGAATGAAGCAAGGATCCGAGCTGTGTTGTTAAAATGAAAGCCTTGTGGTGGGAGAGCCGTCTCCCAGGACGGACTCTCCACAGCAGCCAGGCTAGTGTCTCACACGTTACCAGAGAGCAGGCTCCTGTACTTGCTTTGAGAGGTGCTCTGAGCTCACTCAGCTCCACCAGCATCTCCCACAAAATGCAGTAGCTCTCTGAGCAGCTCCTGCCCCTTCACATGAACTCCTGGAGGCAGGGGCCGCCCCTTTTTTTTTTTTTTTTTTTCCCTTGGGGAAGGGATATTGTTCTTCTAGAACTAACTGTGCTGTGGTGCTGTTCCTCCTGTCTCTGGCTGTTCCTGTGTCAGCAGCAGCCAGTCTCAAACCTCTCCGTCAGGCATTTTGTACAGCTGTCTGTAGAAACCAGCAGCGTGGAGGTCGCATGCTAAGCCGAGCGGGGATGAACACAGTTCTGCAGCTGACCAGCTGCCTGGCACTGCTCTCTTTCAGGCCAACATCACAGAGGTGGAGGTGTCAATTCCCTCCAAGCTGCACAATTCCCTCATCGGCGCCAAAGGCCGCTTCATCCGCTCCATCATGGAGGAGTGCGGCGGAGTCCACATTCACTTCCCCACTGAAGGCTCTGGCAGCGACACTGTGACCATCAGGGGCCCGGCCCAGGATGTGGAGAAAGCCAAGAAACAGCTGCTGCACCTGGCAGAGGAGAAGGTTAGCCCTGTCCCAGGGGAAGCAGCACATTGGTTTGGCCTGTCCTTTCTCTTCTGGGGTTGAAGTGATCCCTTCTGCCTGCTGGGAAGCCTCTGGCATTGGACAGTTCCATCATCTTTTGAGGGATTTGAGGACAATTGAAAGAAAAATGTACTTCCATCCCTCGGACAATATGTTCCATCCCTGCAGGCAGAAGAAATTGCTCTAACACTTCTTTTTACGGGCTGGAAATGTGTTAAAAGCACTAAGGCCCTCCATTCCTGGGGTTTAAATGCTGTTAGGTAACTACACTGCCCTGAAACAGCTTTCCTTACATATATCCCTATCTTATCTCGCTCCCTGTGAATTTTTTTTTTGATCTCCCAAGTTCCAGCAGTTGTCACGGGTCTTCCATTTCAGTGCATGTACCTGGGTTTGGGAGCCTCTGGTTGCAAGACCTTGTCCTGAGTTGGGACTAGCTAGCAATTTCTGTTAGCCAAAGAGGCCCCTCTGCAGCTTGTCCATATGTTTGAGTCCTCTCAGTTTAAAGCAGGCCTCAAGTGGTTACGCTGCCTTGTGCAAGCGTCAGGGCCTTCTTCAGGGGAAGTCTCTTCTGCTCGTGTGCTCTCTAGTCCCGCTCAGTGCAGAGGTAGCTCTTCAGCACTGGGGTGTCTTCGTGTAGTAGTTTATCTTTAAGACATCATACCTTCGATTTTCAGACATCAGACTGCACTTGCCTTGCTCTTGAAGCAGTGTGTATGCAGGACACTGTACACGCTGCTGATGTGGATGTACACATTCTGTATATTGTTCCCTGGTTTATCCGACTCCTTTCAGCAAACAAAGAGCTACACCGTGGACCTCCGTGCAAAGCCCGAGTACCACAAGTTCCTTATCGGCAAAGGTGGTGGCAACATCCGTAAGGTGCGTGACAACACCGGCGCCCGCATCATCTTCCCAACCTCCGAGGACAAAGATCAGGAGCTGATCACTATCATGGGGACTGAGGAGGCTGTCAAGGAGGCACAGAAGGAGCTGGAGGCCCTCATCAAGAACCTGGTGAGAACTTCTCTTCTCCTACCCATCCCTGTAGTGTGGAGGACCTTCCAGGGTGGAGGATCTGCTTGCCCTAAAACCACTTCACGGGAGCTCGAAAAGATCCCCATGCTGACAGTGTTGTTGGGATTTTCTGACTGTTGTTGAGTACAGGAAACTAATGATTACCACCAGAACAGGCAGGGTTGACTGAGTGTCGTCTGTGGGCAGGATAACGTGGTGGAGGACTCCATGGTGGTTGACCCTAAGCACCATCGCCACTTCGTCATCCGGAGAGGCCAAGTTCTGCGCGAGATCGCTGACGAGTACGGTGGGGTCATGGTCAGCTTCCCACGCTCTGGCACTCAGAGCGACAAAGTCACCCTCAAAGGAGCCAAGGATTGCGTGGAGGCAGCCAAGAAACGTATCCAGGAGATCATTGAGGACCTGGTATGTCCGAGGAAAGCCGGGTTTCCTCACTTTGCTGCTTCAGCAGTGCTGTTCTTGAACCTGTGGACAGCCAAACTTCATATAAACAAGTCCTGTGGCAACCTAGGGCCTGCAAACTTTAGATCCCAGACTGGGGAATAGTTATTGGCTTTAAAAAGACAAAGTTGCACAAAGGAATTGCCCCTTCTGCAATCCCTGTGGTGTTTGGGAGTGGAAATGGAGGTTTTTCCTTGGTATACTTTGAGTCATTAAAAGGTTGGAGCCTTCTTGTGTCTCTCCATGGTGGATCTTCTGGCTGCTGCCTGGCTTTTCTTCTGTCAGCACTGGCTTTCAGAAGCAGCCAGCAGACCGACTTGTGCTCTCTCTTCCCTTTTTTCTTTTTCCTTTCTCTGCATCGTTCCTGCCCTTTCAGAATCATAGAAAGCTTGAGCTTTGGTCTCTAAAGCCCTTAACATCACGGGTTGGAGGCAACCTTTGTTCAGAAATCCTCTGCTAACTCCTTGGAGAATAGGAGGGATTCTAGGGAACTTTCTAGGGAACCAGCTTTTATGTCCTCGCATGTCCGTTATGGATTCCGGTGTGAAAGTGGCTGCATGGCAATAGAGCAACTCTGCTTTCTCGCAGGAAGCTCAAGTGACAATCGAGTGCACCATCCCACAAAAGTTCCACCGCTCCATTATGGGCCCCAAAGGATCCCGCATCCAGCAGATCACCCGGGACTATGGTGTCCAGATCAAATTCCCTGACAGGGAGGAGAACCCAGGTATTCCCGGGGGGTGGGAGGTGCATGTTCACAGGGTAGTGGGGAAGATGAGTAGCATCTTGGCTATTTGCTAGCTAAAGTCTGTGGAGAAGTAACCCCAGATGTTCCCTGCCGTGTCCTTAGTCTGGGCTCAGCATTAGCCTAGTCATTTTGGGGAAAAGGGATGATTTGAGGAGGTGAAACTGCAAATCTGGAGGGCTCCACATGTTTAGTGCGACGTTTTCCATTTTGCCAGCCCCCGTGGCGGAGCCAGCGGTGCAGGAGAACGGCGAGGAGGGAGGTGAAAGCAAGGATGGGGACCCCAGCTCTCCCAAGAAGTGCGATATCATCGTCATCTCCGGCCGCAGGGAGAAGTGTGAGGCAGCCAAGGAGGCGCTGCAGGTTCGTGGGCTTCCAAGGTCTGCGATGTCATGGTGCCCCAGTGCAAAAAGCATAATAAAACTCTCCAGTCATGTTTGCTATCGCTCTGGTCACCAAACGTGCCCTTCCAAGGGGCACTCCTGCTACTGCTCTGTCATTTGGCCTGGGATCATAGGGTATGAGCAGTTGCCAGAGCTGAGTGTGTTCGTAGCTGCTCTCTCCCCCTTTAGAGCTTCCACTGTGGCTATGAGAACATGTATCTCACTTCAGTGAGTTGTTCTTTTGAGCAAGCTGAGAGATGAAAGGGGTCTTTGCTCCGCTGACCTGCGCTTCCTTCCCTGCAGGCCCTGGTTCCTGTCACCATTGAGGTGGAGGTTCCCTTTGATCTTCACCGTTACATCATTGGCCAGAAAGGAAGTGGCATCCGCAAAATGATGGACGAGTTTGAAGTAAGTCGCTCCCTCTGGTCTCCAGTGTGCTGGAGAATCTGAACATAACTGGGGTTGTGACAAGGCTCAGCACTGTCATGGTGACAAAGCCACCTCTATAACACCAAAATGAGAGTAATTTAACTGTGTAATTTAGTCTCTGGGGTCTCAAGTGGCCCTGCATTGAATAGTGGTACGAGATGACAGTTGGTATGTGTTGCTCAGGTGAACATCCAAGTCCCTGCTCCGGAGCTGCAGTCGGATATCATCACCATCACCGGGCTGGCCGCCAACTTGGACCGTGCCAAGACGGGGCTGCTGGCAAGAGTGAAGGAGCTGCAAGCTGAGCAAGAGGATAGGGTAAGGCTGGGAGGGCCAGACGAGGCCTCTTCAATGTGAGCTGGCAGGGGAGAGTGTTTGGATTCTGCCGCGGGAAAACTCCGGACTTCCCAGGGCTTTATCAAAACTCCGTGTTCCTCCCAGACACTTCCATGTGGGAACTCATGGTGCTGGAAGTCCTTCTGTGCCTTCCTTGTCCCAGCTCTGAGCATGAGGGATGAGCTGGTTGCTGCTTGGAAGTTCTTGCTAGACTTGGCTAGAGCGCAAAGCCCCAGCTGATGCTTTTCCATAGCCAGGTGCACTCAGAAGGACCCTGCACAATTTGCCCTGCATGTGCAGGGAACACCTGAGCCAGAAGGAAATGTTGGAACTCGGAGGGACGTCAGTGTTGGTGCTGTGGCACGGTCCCTGCTGCTGTGCCTCATTCTGCTGCTCCATTCCAGGCCTTGCGAAGCTTTAAGCTGACAGTCACTGTGGATCCCAAGTATCACCCTAAAATCATTGGAAGAAAGGGAGCAGTGATCACCCAGATACGCACAGAGCACGAGGTCAACATCCAGTTCCCGGACAAGGATGATGAGAGCCAGGTGAGGGCAGAGGGGGCACAAGGAAGCAGCTGGTGGTCTCAGAGTAGGACACACAGCGTCCTCTGTAGAGCTCTGACATCCCTATGCTGCCTTTGGAATTAAAGGAAAAAGGTGGCTCAGCTATTGGTGGGCCTGGTCACTCATCTGTGTCCCCATGTGCCCAGGCCCAGGACCAGATCACCATCACGGGCTATGAGAAGAACGCCGAGGCCGCCCGCGATGCCATCATGAAGATTGTTGGCGAGCTGGAGCAGATGGTGTCCGAGGATGTGACGCTGGACCACCGTGTTCATGCACGCATCATTGGAGCGCGTGGCAAAGCCATCCGCAAAATCATGGATGAGTTCAAGGTGCGCAGGGAGACTGGGGGCACTGGGCCTGGGTGCTTTTTTCTCCTGCAGCTCTCCTGGTGCAGGTCATTTGAGATGGGCAGGTCTAAGTCCTCTCCTGTTCCTTGTGTTGCAGGTGGACATTCGCTTCCCGCAGAGTGGAGCTCCTGACCCTAACTGTGTGACTGTGACCGGCCTCCCGGAGAACGTGGAAGAAGCTATTGATCACATCCTCAACTTGGAGGAGGAATACGTAAGTGCTTAGCACGTCTCGGCGGGGGGAGCAGGGACATCATCTCTCACCGGGCTGGGTGGCTGAGGCAGCTCCAGCTGGTAGTTCCTCCTATGGCTTTGCAGAGCGTGGCCCTGGGGCAGGTGGCAGTTGGCCCACTCGTGCTCAGTGATGCACTGCAAGCTCTGGCCCCGCTGTCAGGAGGCACCATGCACGTGCAAGCACTTGCCTGGCTGCAGCTTGCACCAGTCAAGGAGGTGGTAGCCTGCCTCCTAGAGATGCTGTTTTCAGCCCTTGTAGAGTGGCTCAGCGACCTTAGGAAGGTCCTGGCAGGGAGATGTGTTGTTTTGGGTGCTTTTTCTGCTCTAACGGGGCCGTGTGGCTGCAGCTTGCAGATGTGGTGGACAACGAGGCAATGCAGGTGTACATGAAGCCCTCTTCCCATGAGGAGTCCAAGGCCCCGTCCAAGGGCTTCGTGGTGAGAGATGCCCCCTGGGCCACTGTCAACAACGAGAAGGTGAGTGCTGCCTCTGCTGAGGGCCTGCGGGATGGGGGAGTGAGGCACCTTGGCCCTGGTCCTGCCCCAGGACCTGGCCCTGCTGGCACAGTTGAGGCAGAACAAGCAGCGAGCTTAGTCCTTGGCACGTGCAAGCTGAGTGCAGGCCTGGGCTCTGCCTCCACTGCTCTCCGAGCTCTGTGTCTCCTTCTTCCACGCACGTCATCCACGTTGGCCAACGGCTTCACCGCTGGCCCCGGGCAACCTGACTGGCCCTGTTGTGCCCTCGCCCCCTCTCTCTCCTGGGCTGTGAGAAATTCTGCTTAGCCTCGGGCACACGATGCAGGTTTGCAGCAGGGCAGGAGCTTAACTTGTTCCCTTTTCATTTGCTTTAGGCCCCCGATATGAGCAGTTCTGAAGACTTCCCCAGCTTTGGGGCTCAAGTGGCCCCCAAGACTCTTCCCTGGGGACCCAAACGATAATGACCTGGAAGCAGAACCATCTCCTCCAGCCCGCTGACCTGACACTAACCTGCCACAAATCCTTCCTGTCCGAAATCTGACCCAGCGGCTGGAGCGCAACTCAATTGCCCCACGAGGTCTCCTAATGGTGGCTGGAGTGCTAGACCCCCTCCTGCTCCCCTCAGCTATCACCGTGGCTAGGACCCACCCTCCTCTCTTGATGGATCCTCTTTCCTCCTTTGGAACAAGCCTTCCACTCAGATTCGAACACTAAATGTGTGTGTTTTCGTTAGAAACTCCATAATTGACTCCAAGTGGCTAAGATTTGCAGCTTCCCGAGCGCTAGCAGAGCACTCTGCTCTCTCGAGCATGTCTTACTGGGCATTCTCGCCTTCATTAGGAGACCTCCGTTACTGTGGCTAGGAATCTACTTCCTGTCTCATGACCTCAGGAAATAAATTTCCTTGACTTTCTAAAGCCAAAACGTTTGCCCTCTTTCCTTTGTGTTTATCCCAGGCCTTACCTTACCTTTGTAGAGTGCAATCAACCCTCTTTTTTTTTTTTTTGTTTTCCTTTTGAACTGCCAAAAATTCATTTAATGCTGATAGCTGACTGTGGGGAGAGCTTAAAACATAACCTGAAAGACCCCAAAGTTGCTTTTCAAAGGCACAAAAGCTGCGCTAGGCTGGAGAGGCAGCAGCGAAGGAAGGGAGCAGGGAAGGGAGCAGAGCCCCAGGAGGCTGCCGTGTGCATGGAGCCGCCGCGGGCAGCGCCTCGAGCCCGGCCCTGCTGCCGAGTCTTTCAGCTGGTGATTGCAGAGCCTGCTCCTAGCGGGGGGTAGGCAGGTGAGGCAGCACGTGACAGAAGTACCGCCCGGGACGAGGGGGAGGGCGCGCGAGGCCGCTGCGCTGATGCGGAGCGGAGGCCGCGACGGCCTCCAGGCACGAGTGGCGGGGCCGCCTACAGCTATTGCCTTCTTTCTACCTCAAAAGTCAGGACGATGGGGGCCTCCCCGGGGAGGTGGCTTAAGCAGCTCCCCAGCTCCCACCCTGTGGACCAGAGCAGAGCGCCCTCCCCGGGGCTGCAGGAGCCGAGCGCGGGGCCGGAGACGCCCGGGCTTGGTTGCCCCTCCGTGCTGCCAAGATCACCCTGGCCTTGCTGGGAGCTGGACGGCTGCTCTGGCGGGTGGAGAGCTGGGCCACCTTGTGTGCTGGGCTGCCCGTGCTGTGGCCCTGCCTCCCGCAGAGCCCCTGTCCAAGCTCCTCCAGCCACTAAGAGGAAAATCTGTGTCCTGGTGGAGAAAGGCAGGGGGAAGGTCCCATGGCGCCTCCAGAGGTTGTGGTCTGAGCCCTTCCTCTCCCTCAGCTGCTTCAGCTCTTGGACAAGCAGGAGGCCCCGGCCTCTCTTCTCATGCTGCTTACAGGGCAAAGGCCCAAATGTGGGAAGGCTGGGCCCCCTCTTCTTGCCTTTCCCAGCCAGGCCCGAGATGCTCCCGCTTCTCCTTCCTGCCCTCACTCCTCCTGGAAGCGGCTGCGAGGTGAACCAAACCCTCATAGCGCTATCAGCAAGTTGCAGAAAGGGCCCCAAGCGACCAGGTCCCCAGCACACAGGGTGGGTTAGAACCAGGAGACCCCCCTCCCCTCCGCGTCTGCCCGAAAACAGTTATTGCCCTGTAGCTTCGGCCTGTCCTACGTCACCGAGCCGGTCACAACGCCCTCCTTCCTCTTTAGGCCCCTAGTCTTCGCACCAGTTGCACAGCTCGGCTTGCGTTACCCTGGGGGCACCGCGGCCGTGCCCCCCGCCCCTCCGCGCTGCAGCAGGTCGTGAAGTGATTGTACCTAGTACTGTCCCCCCGCGCGCAGCAGCCCGTGGCATGTGTCCATTTCCTCTCTGACGTCTTCCATATTGTACGTTTCCATAGCAATGATCCCTTGGCCTTAACTTTGGAATTTGGAGACTATATGCAAACATGTAAAAAGGCTCATGAGTATGGATGACACTGGAATTTTATAAATTCTAAAATAAAACCTGAAACAGCTCTGGAGCGTTGCGGATGGTTTTTGTTTCCTCCCTAGGGGGGGCTGAGAGCCAAAGTGGCAGCCCTGGGCCTGGGCTGAGCCCAGCGTGAGGCTGTCCCGTGCCCCGCGACGGAAGGACAAGGGGCAGGTAGCAAGGGCAGGGCCCAGCCGTGGTGGCAGCGGCGCAGGGAACTAGTGCCCCCCTACAGCCTTGGCCCTTGGGGCTTTGCCCACAGCGCTGCCGCAGGGGAGGTCACTGCTGCTGGCAGCAGCAAAGCCACCCGTGTTCACATTCTGGGTTAACACGAGTACAAGAGGCAGGAGGGGCCACCGTGCTGAGGCCGAATGCGGCAGGAGGCAAAAGCTCTGGCTCTGCCGGCTGAGCCCGGGCACGCCGGGGGTGCAGCCACCTTTAATGGGTTTAGTCTGTTTACACAGCACTAGGTTTAACTTACCGTAACACTGCGAACGTGGGTAAATAGCCGGCGTCAGCCCGTCCCCACCCCCAAAATGCCCCCTGTGGCGGAGCCAGCCTCTTCCAGCCAAGCAGAGAAGGCTCCCACCCAACCTGCGGCTCAAGGTTGTCCCAAGGAGGAGCAGGACGGAGCAGAGCAGAGCCTAGGCGCAGCGCCCAGGGCCTTGGGACAGGCTGCAGCTCTTAATTGCTTTGCTCCTGCTCTGTTTCCCAGTCCCTGATTGTTGCCGAATCCAAGACGTTGGCCCTGTTCCTCGTGTCTCGTTGTTCTATAAGGATCTGGGTCAAAGGAAAAAAAAAAAAGAAAAGGAGCAAGTTGGTGCTGACACTAGTCAAGTTTCAGCTCTAGCTCCTTATGGGCTGTCTGGTTGCTCAGCCCCTCACTGAGGAGCTTCAAAGCAAGAAGGCAGCACAGGAGGAGGAAGAGGAGCAGCCAGGTGCAGCTGTGGCACCAGCTCACGCGGGGCCACGGCTCCGAGGGAGGCAAAACCCACCTTGTTCTCAGCCAGAGCTTCCTTGGCCAGGTACCGCTCCCGCTTCACCTTGATCTCCACTGACTCGGGGATGTCGGGTACCAGCAACTCAATTAAACGCGCGATAAAGAAAACCACGTGCTGCGAGGGGGAGGAGGAAGGCAGCGGTTAGCGGTGCTGGCCCCTGCGCCGCCCACACAGGTTGGCAGCGGCCGGCGCGCCGTGGGCAGCACCTCAAAGGCGATGATGAAGGCCAGGCGAATGGCGAGCAGCTGCCAGTAAGTCGATGAGAAGTTGCCATCGGGGTCTCTAAATGCCCGGTACCTGCAGGAATAGAACACAGTCACCACTGCCTCTGGGTGCTGAGGGAACCCTGGGGTGAACAAGGTCCCCGAGACCCTTGGGGGAGCTGGTCGGCAACCTGGACCTGGCTGAAGGCCGCCATGCACCACCTTGGCATGCACCTTGGCATGCTCGCCAAGGAGGTGGCACTGGCAGAGAGATGCGAGCGGCAGCATAAACGAGAACGAGCAGGACAGGGGCTCCCACCTGCACATGGTGTTGTTGTGCTGCACAAACTCCCACGGCGCGTGCGCCAAGGAGAAGTTCACGTAGCCGCGCAGGCTGCTGTCGTAGATGTGCTTGTAGTAGGTGCGGGGCAGGAAGTCAGAAGTGAAGGCAATGAGGAAGGCCTGGGAGGAAGGAGATCTGCTTCAGGGGGCTTCCCACGCAGCCCGAAGGACATCCCAGTCCCACCGGCCAAACCACCTTCATGGCCACACATTTCTGAACTCGCTCGAACACGACAGGCTGCCCCAGGCCTTATCCTCAGCTGCACAAACCAGACACAACCACAGCTTCATCTTGGAGGGCAGCTTGCTGCTAAGAGTGCCTTGTTTCACACTCGCCCCTCGATTAACCCTGATTTCCCTAACTCTCAACGCACGTTGCTGATGACAGCCAGGTGGGCGATGACCTCGAGGATGTAGAACCAGATGCCAATGCCCTGCGCCCGCTCAGCCACAGGCCGCCGGTAGTCGCAGACCAACTTCTGCGCGTCCACGCGGATCTCCACCCAGTTGTTGAGCAGGGCGAAAAGGGGCGCCAGGGGACAGGCTGCCACGAAGATGGTGATGAAGCCAAACTGCATGACTGGGGTGTGAGGAAGAGGAAGGACAGGGGGTTGAGAGGCAGCAGCAGCGGCAGCAGCTTCCGCTGCCAGCCCCCTTCCCACCTCACCAGCACCCAGAGGTCCCCACAGAAGGGTTAAACCCCTGGAGCTGACTCAGTTGGAGGAGGGAGGCAAGGAAGGAGCCTCCTCCGGGCAGAGGAAGCCATGAGGCGCAGCAGCCTGGGCTGGGCTCCAGGGTAAAGCCTAGCCTGAGTCGGAGGCTTCCTGTGGAACATTTTCCTCCTAAATCCAGGCCCAGCAGGGAGAAGAGTCACAGCCCGTGCCAGGACCAGGCTCTGGCAAAGAGACCGGTCTCCTTTGCGCCCCTGCTGCGGGGAGCGGCCTGGCCCGCTGCCCCCCAGCTTGCCGGGGCCCATGGGCACCTCACATTGACACCCCAGGGCTGCTGCTCTGCCAGGGAGTTTCTCCACAGCCGTCCTGAGGCGCCATGAGGAGACACATGTCCCCCCACGCCCACCGCTCACTCCTCACCATGTGCCAACATCCCAGTCCCAGGCCGGCCGCAGAGCCCTTCGGGTTCCTACCCATCTCCAGGTACTCATCAAAGAGCCCCTCGAACACCAGCAGTTGGTAGTTCTCCTCCCAGGGCGCCTTCTCCGCCTGTACCGATTCCCCGTCCTTGGCTGCCTTCTTGCTGGAGTCGAACCTGTGTTTCTGCCACCAACACTTCAGCTTCCTGGAAGGAGATGACAGTGACACGGTTTGCTGCTCATGAGCTGAGCTCGGGGCTTGCAGCAGGACGGGGCGCGACGCGGCCGCGCTCCTCACCGCAGCACCCGCGGCACTTACGGGATGACCACCTCCTGCATGTTGTTGATGATCTGCTTCCCCACCATGATGACAAGCAGCTCCTGCGCGAGCTCGATGAGGCACCCGCCCGGGCTGCACTGTATGGGAAGAGCAAGGGCTCCCTCAGGGCCGAATCCAGCAGGTGGAGCAGTCCAGCGTTAAGACTCCCCACCATTCCCAGTGGCCCAGAAGACTGTGAGCACGGGAAGGCATCAATGGGGAGTACCAGCTCCAGGGTGGGGTGACAGTCCCGTAGTTTGTGACTCACAGACACCCCACAGGCAGGAAGATCACAAGGAGAGGTGCCTGTGTCCCAGCAAGGACCCTGTCCTGCGGGGGCACCACCAACACTCACCTCCTCGTTGCGGACGCCCAGAAAGTTCACGTAGTTCCCGGGGTAGCCGACAAACCTGCGCAAGCCGGGGCAGAGACGTAAGCCCATGGGTCACCCTTTCTCCCCACCCTGCCCCTATCCACTGCCTCCCATTCTCCACAAGACTCTGGTGTCCATGGACACATCCCAGCAACCCTGGGAGTGAGCTGGGCTCCGAGAAACCTTAGTGCTGCCCCTCTCATCCAAACCCCCCCAGGCACCACAAAGGGAATGCAGAGGGAAGGACGGACATCTCAGACGCCTCCAAAAGGCCCAGCAGTGCATTTCCATGAAGGAAAGGGGGCTCCTGGGTGTCCTGTCTTACACCAAAGCCCTCCAAGGATTCCAGCTTTTGGGTAGGCACCCAGCAGGCCAGGAAGGAGTGAGTGGCTGTCCCGGTGCGGTGCTCCTTGCCCCAAGGTGGCAGCACCACTCCAGCTTGCCACAGCCCTCCAAGAACATGTCCCCATCCCTGCCAAACGCCAGAGCCCTGCAGGACACAGGTGGGCACGGGCTGTTCCCTGACACGAAGCTCCCTTCTCCCCGCAAAGGCCTTACTTGCCCTTGAAGAAGGCGACGTAGAAAGGAGAGGAGTAGAAGTTGACGAACTGGAAGACGAACACCTTGAAGATGAAGGCGTCCTCGTACTTGGTCTGTGTGCGGTGCATCTCTGCAGGGGGGAAGCACAGAGCGGCTCGCTGGTGTTGGTCCTAACCAGTTAGACTCTGATCAGCCTCCTGGAGCACGTCCTGCGCTCTGCCCTCTCCCTCCCCTGCCCACAGC